ACGGTTGAAATAAATCGTTGGCGGGACTGATTTGCTACAGGACGACCGAAGGCAATGCTGGATACGCAAGAAAACGAGCCACAAATTCCCAAGATGACACTTTCGGAACTCCGTAGGCATAAGACACGAAGGTTGCCTCCTTCCAAGGGGAAGACTTGCAACCTGACAGAGACCCAGACAACACCGGGCAGAGGAACTGACACAATAACGGCCGCTCCGGAGCAGGAAACTGACCTTCGTACGTTGGACAAGGATGAGGCGTCACTCGAAGCGGGCGAAGACACCCTCGACCAGGACGAGCCCAAGCCAAACTCCGTTGACCCGACCACGGCCTGGAAGTTGGAAATGGCACGATTCTTCCAACAAATGCGGTGCGACCAGAAAGGAAGTACAGGCGAAACGAAGAAGGGGGCAGATCTCATAATGCAGTCAAGAATGGCAGCTACCGAAGCGGGACCAGATATGCGGAGCTTCCTGACCCTGGCGGAGCGGGAATTTCGGGAAATGGGAATCGCAGAGGCTCAATGGGGTGTACTGATACGCAATTACCTAACAGGTCGCGCCGCCACACAGTGGAACTTCGTAGTTAGGTCCGGAATAGATATGACAGACTGGCAGTTGGTGTGCGAAAGACTTTGCGAAAGGTTCCTTGGGTATACGCGGGACGTCATGTTAAGCCAGATGAAAGAAAACGAGTGGACTGGCAATTACAACGAATATTGCAACGAGTTCTCAGACATAGTATCCAATGGAGAAGAACTGCCCGAACACGACCTGATTATGTACTTCCTCGCCGGATTACCTACGGATATCGGAGACGAGCTGACCGACAAAGGCAAGCGGACATTTTCGACGTGGAACGAGGCCGCAAATGCGCTGAGGGCGTACATGGTCCCATTCAATCTGTGGAGGGCCCAGCGAAAACGTGCGTTACAGGAGCTGCAGGGCGCAGAGAAGCCGAGACCCAAGCGTAGGAGTTACCTCAGAGAGTACGGAGAGGCGAACAGACACCACAACGAGGCTGCCTACGGCGTCAATCGTAAAACCCATTCGACGGGGAGAACGACGGGGGACGGGGAAAGAGATACAACCCGTTGCTTCGAGTGCACAGGCCAGGGACACCTGGGAAGGGAATGTCCC